TCATTTTTCATTTGATCGATGTAAGCCATTTCCCATCTGAAAATTAGGATAGATGTATATACAGCAAAACCCTGCCTTCATTTCCCACCTGCCCAGCACAGGTATGTGTCAGCCCCTCCATCTGTCAGCACAACCCCTTGGCATCTCCCAAGGGGAAGTATGGCTGCAGTGGGGAGGAACGTCCTCAAGAGTGACACTCCCCATCCAATGATCTTGGGGGGCACTCAAAGCTCCCAAGCACCTCATCTTTCCCATAGGAAAGATGGGGTGTACCAAGAGGGTGTGTGATTGAGCACCTACAGACAACGGTGCCCGACACTTCCCCTCCCGCCTGTGGCAGTGAAAGAGAGAGCGAGCTTTGGTCTGATGCAGCTTGCCACTGGTCTCTGCCCTGCATACAATGAAAGGACTACACAAAGGGGAACTTGGATTTGGCTGGGGGAATATCAAAGCAAGATGGGATACTAAGGCAGCAGATGTGGTGTGTCCCATCTCCCTTCCAAAAGGTAAGCAAATGCCCCAGACTAGCCCACCACTGTAACATTATTCAATTTGGTGCACATCATCCAAACTGGGTGTATTTTCCCCCGAAAGCACCATTACCAACTAAGCATTTGCTATTGTGATTGGTAATACGTGCAGGTGGACGGTTTTTGCATGGTGAGGTTCCTCGGAGGGAGGATGTGGCACTCACTCTGTATACAGAGACATATTAGGACTCAGTGCATGGCCCTGTCAGCTGAGGTTATCAAGGGTGGGGCTGCTCTCTAACCCTAACCCTAAACAGCATTCGAGCCTTGGGCCAGCTGAGATTCAACATCCCTGAAGATAGTGGCGTCTAGCAGAGCATGTTTTATACTTAAGGGTGTGATATCCTGGATGTTGAGAGAGAAAACAACTTTCACAGTTGCCATGCTGGCTGGACAACAATGCAAATATTAGGACTTTTTCCTTCTCTAAGCATCCATAGAATTGTGCTCTAAAGCAACTTAAAATTCTCAACTTACTAAATCGTTCTAACAACCTGGGAGGTAGGATCCTGCCAGTCACTCTGTGAGGAAGGCCAAGAGCGATCCTCCCTGCCTACTTCCGCGTTGCGAGGATCACCCCCACAATGCTATCTAAATCCAGGGTGGCCAGTGCAGGCCACAGCCTCGGTTTCTCTTCTCTTTCCACATGCGAGAGAAAACCGGGCAGTGTGAGATAGGCTTGCCTGATTTTCAATGGAACAGCATTCATTAGGAGGAGAGTCAAAAAGGTGTTTAGGTAACTTCTAAATTTAGCTTTGCATGGCTGATGTTTCTTTGAAAAAGCTGGCATTGACTGAAATCCCTTCTTCTACTGACAGATCAGCACAGTGCTGGCATAGTGGCAGCTGGTGTGTGACCGTCCCCTCGTCCCAGAAGAAAAAACAGCTGATTCAGAAAAAAGCAGCCGCCAGAGAGAGAAGCCCAAGGAAGAACAAACAAAGAAGACGGGACCTTTAAAAGGGATGAAATAAAACATTGTATGGAGAAGCCTATATTTATATTGGAGGCCCTTCAGCCAGAAAAACAGAGACCTTGTCTGGGGACTAACTCTGCGATGCTATATTTGAAGGTGTCTAAACCACTATTTCACAACATGCCCTAAATTCGGCAGTGCTCTCTCCTGCCAATAGCAGGCGATGAAAATGAGGTGCAGTAACGTGCTGTGGCTGTCGGCAACCTCAAGATAATGGGGGAAAGGGAAGGACCTGGAGAGGATGTGGCAAGGACACCTGAATGAAACCTAGAGGCTATTGATGAGTGACGGAGCCGAGCTGGGATACCATGAAGAGGAATTAATGACACCACCGGCTGCCCTGTGGGAAGGACCTCAGAAGAGGGATGCAGATGAATCTGACCTCCGCACTGCTCCAGCCAGCCGTACAGGACTAGCTGCCACTCTCTGACCTGGTGGAAGATCCCAACTGTGACTTTGTTTTGTTTTTTGTTTTAAATGTTGTGCATTGCAGTTCTAGGGCTGACTGGCAGATGTCACTTGTAAGCTGCATAGAAGTAATTGCAATAAGTAAGAATAAAAAAAAGCATAATGATGAGAGTAAGAATACGGGTAGCAACAGCAACAACAACAACAAATGCATGGAGGCATTTCAGAGATGAGTAAGAGGAAAGAATGACTGTTGGGATGATGTGGCTGTGCATGCATCGGCGTCTGCTTGACACGGGATGCAGGAAAAGTAATCCTGACCGTGCACATTTGGAACTGGGTAACATTGCTTAAGTTTTGAGGGGGCCCCTTAATAAAAATTGGGATTCTTTTGCTGAGGACAAGATACAGTTCTTACAAGATGCATTTCTAAGCATGCCTGCTCACTTGCAAGCCTCTCCGAAGTGCAGTGGGATGTACTCCCAGGGAAGTGTGTATAGGACTGCAGCCTTAATGTTAACATACTCTTCCCCCCCTCTCTGGTACTAGTTTCTGATCAGTGATAAGAATTATTTAATAGTTCATGTGTTCCTAAGGAGTTCAAAAAATGGGCTTTTAAACATTTTAAACAGTGTAAATCATGTACTTTGGCATTTATTGCAATAAATTTTATTTTATTATCATTTTGCAGTCCATGCAGAAATATTTTTAAATATGGTGAGCAGCATGAAGGCTGATTAAATAAACAAGCCTGCACATACCAGCATCAGATTCACCTCACAATCTAGGACAGGTGGAGGCAACCTGGGGCTCTCCTGATGTTTTGGAATACATCTCCCATCACCCTCTGCCCACATAGCCAATGCCTGGAGATTATGGAAGCTGTCTTATGAAACACTGCCAGGGCACCATTTCTTATAGTCATTGCTGTGCACATACAAGTGTTAGGCAGATAATTTAGCACGTCAGTCTACTTTTCAACATAAGAAACAAATTTCTAGCACTTCGGGATGAGAAAATTGGCGTATATAAGGGTTGTATATACCTCTATATCCTGCTCCATGAATACAGGCAAATACAGAACATAGGCAAATATGTAAATTGGCTTCATTTACATCACAGAATTCTGCAGTTCTAGGTCCCAAATCCTTCAGAGCACACAGAATTCCACTTATGACACAAAAATCAAGCAGGAAAATCTGACTGTACTCAGAGCTGCCATGGTACAAGCACAACCTTTTCTTCCTGCCTCTAGAAGTCCTATTCTACTGATCTGAGGCTCTGTGTTTGTCAGCTTCAAAATCCATCAGTGCTAATGACTTTAACTGGGAAAACAGTGCTGCAAAATTTACCAGCAGGAATGGGCTTGGGAGCTGCCATGGTTAAAGTTTTGCTCAAGGAGTATTAAGTCATTTCTCATTTATTTATTTCTATACTGCCCCATAGCCCACAGGCTGTCCGATAGGTTTACAGATTTACTTCTTGCCTTAGTTTGCTCATCTAGAAAATGGGATGAACAGTGATGGGCAGCAATTTTATTGAAGGGCAAGGGAAGGTGCTCACAATGTAATGTAAGCTATCTCCCTAACCGGGGCAAATGTGTGCACGCTCACTACCACTGGCAGGCTGTCCCCGCCACAGCAGTGCCCCTCCTAGAGCCCTCTTCCTCCTGATGCTGCAGAACAGGTATCCAGCCCCATATTTCATTGCCACCTCCAACCCACCCCCCCACCTCCCAGGCTCTTCAAATCTGCATGGTTCACTATAAAGACTTCCCGAACCAGTTTGACTGGCACTCATGGCTCAACCAGTGGAACTGTTTTTCCTGACTTTCCTCCTAAGCTTCCAAGTTGTCCCCGATATCGCATCCCTCGTACTCAGGCTCCCAAATCCTGGCTTTAGACCTCCCCCCCCCCCACCAAAAAGAAAAAGAAAAAGATCTTTGTGTTTCTTTCTGGATGTAGGATCAGAAACTGGCATGCCCTCTTCCCATGAAATGGCAACACGTTTATGTTTAGCTATTTGTATGTATTTAGTTCATTCTGGCATTTCTTCCAGGAAACTCAAGTCAGCACAAAGAGTTCCCAGGCAGATTTCTATCCAGGTACAGGCAGGGCACAGAACTGCTGAGTTTCAAGGAAGGTTGCTGTGTCATTTGCCTTCCAGCCTTCCCCAGTCTGGTATTCCCCAGATGCCTTCGACTACAGCTCCTATCACTGATTGGTGGTTGTGCTGATTGGGGCTGATGGGAGCTGTAGCCTGGAGCATCTTAGGCAAGGCTGCAGGGCAAGTCCCACTTGTCTCCCATTCTAATTTTATGAGTTCTTAGACATAGTAAGCATTCTACCCACTGAGGTCTTGCCTCCTTAATGGATAATGAATTTGAAAGAAAAGGGACAGCAACTTCATGAACTGCTTCTCCATGTTAAGGTGCCAGCACAAATACAAACAACAACAATTCAAAAAGCAACAACAGCAGTGATTGTGAGGTTAAGTCACTTCCTCCCAAAGCAAAGAGAAGAAGGCCACAGGAATTCCAGGATAACTTAAATGGCGTTTGAAATGGGCCAGGGAATGCAATCAATTCCTTCCTGCATTTTAGTATCTTCATATGGCAGCGGTATAACCTACACAGACACATCCCCTAATGGCTTGTGACGGTCCTTGGAGCATCTTCACCTCTTGTTCAGCTACCTCCTCCATACTGTCCTAACCTCTTCGAGAGGGGACAGTGTATAATGACAAAGTTGAAACACAGACTCATCATCTCTGGCTCCCAACCCCACGGCCACTCATTCTTGACTGCCCCCCACCCCCCTGTGCGCTTCCATGGCCACTTAGCATGCCCCTCCCTTCTGGCCCACGGTCCTCACCCCCACTCTTCATTAACTTCTAATCCAAATCGGGCCCCTCCCGCAACTTCGCATTGTCCCTTGCCACTCAACAGCACGTGGATTTCTTTGGAGCCTCCCCCCTCCCACAGATGCCTGAGCTCGAGAGGTCCCACCACTTCTACCTCCTCCCGTGTCCCCTTTGCCCTTGGCCAGTTCTGAACTCTTCTCCCCCTCCCCAAAGTGCAGCAGACTCACGTGCGATCTTGGATGGGATCCGGGTTGTGAAGGGGAGTGGAGGGAAAAGGGGGTCTAGTTTCGGTTCAGACTTCAACTTTGCTCACTGCATCGCTCTTTGACTTCGGTCAAATGGGAAAACGCTTTCCCCCACCCCGTCCAACTCGTTTGACAGCACTCCCCCCGCCCTGCAGCACTGGGCTGCCTTGCTCTTCTACAGGAGGGTCGGGAGGGGTGCGGGGAGAAAACAGGAGCGGGGTCTCTTTCGCTTCTCTCTCCCCCTCCCGACCCCCGCAGCGGAGAAGCCCCGCGATCGCCGGTCTCTCGAAAGAGACGGAAACTAAGCCCGGCGCTTGATACATAAGGACGACTGCAGTCCCCTCACGTCACAAGAGAGGCGAGCCAATAGGAACGGCTCCTGGGCACAGATCAAAAGCGAGGAGACCGCAACAGAGAAAGAGCATCCATTAGCACGCCGCCGGCTCTTCCCTCCCCTCCCCTCCCGCTCGCCTCGGGGGACGCTCCAAGGAAAGAGAAGCGCCCCCTTGAAGTTAGCCTGGTGGGAAGCAGCTTTTTTTTTTTTTTTTGGCACTTTGAAATCGGGGCCGCTTGCAGTCCACCCCACCGTCGCCTACTGCCTGCAAACGGAAGGCGACCGAAAACCCATTTAAGAGAAAAGCGAGGGGTGGAGGGAGAGGAGAAACCAACCTGCACTTGTGCCATCCTGAGCCGAGAGCCGCGCGACAAGAAGTGCGAGGGCCAAATGAGCTCTAACTGGGTCGCGAGGCCCATCCTTCACCCGGTCACGCAAGAACTTCTTGCGCCATCCTTGCTGCTTCTGAGGGCAACCCGAGAGGCTTCGAAAGGATTTCCTTCCGATAAGCCTTCCCATCTTTATTGCGACACCTTCATTATCTGCTTAGGTAACCACAACAAGAGAAACAAAACAGCCACCTCGTAAAAAAAAGCACCCTCTTGGAAATGCTGAATAATTGCTGGGGATTCCGGAAGAGCCAAGACAGCTTTCCAAGCACCTTTGTAGCGCTCTGCCAAAAAAGAAACTAGAAAATGTGAAGACTGAGCAATGCATGCTGAAATCTACAATGCCAAGGCAGGTGGCTCCACATCCCTTGCTGGCTCCAGCCATGCCTCCCAAAATTGAAATACAGCGGGGGAAGGAAGCTATGTGCATTTGCTCAGTGCTCATATGTCAAACAGGCAGTGGCAGGGTTCTCCCCAGTCTCCTGGGAACCAGAATGGACACACCATTTTAAGTGTCATTGGGAATGACTTATCATTGGTCATTCCCAATTAGGAGCACCACACGTGAACAAGAGGCTATTGCTAAGACTTAGAGTGTACACTTTTCATGCAGGCAGGCCCAGGTTCAGTTCCAGCACCTCCAGTTGAAGGTTCAAGGCTAAAGGGATGGGAAATCTCTCTGCTGGAGACCTTCCAATTAGTGGATTCAGCAGATCTGCACCATACATCTACACAAACAAACAAGAAAGTCTACCAGCACCAGTTCAAAGCGCTACAGTAGGATGAATGAGAATGCAAGCACAACACAGGTGCTCCCGTCTCCAGTGCCGTGCACACAACAGCAGGATGCAACTAGACCACAGCGAAAGGGCCATAAAACATCAAGTCTGACCTTATGTGGTGAAGCGGAGCTATTCATCTACCACAGATCAACTCTTGCCTTTCAGCCCACAGAACAATAAAACCTTTGTTTTTCTCAGGAATCTGAACCATATAAATGTGCAAGACTGAGTTCATTATAAAGGGGCTTTACTACTCCACAGAATTACAGATTCTTTCTTCCCAGAGCACCCTAGGAACTGTGTTTGCACATTAGGGATCTTGTTCTGACGAAACTAAATGCCACCACAACCATTTCCTTCTTCCAGTTTCAGTCCTTAAGATCTCTAGTACTGTCCTACTTCAAAAATTTGAGATACCATCTGTAAAAATGAAAATGACACAACTTGCCATGGACACTGTAGGAAGAAAGACAAGTTGGCTTACAGAATTAACTTAATCAAATCCAGTGTAACTGGTTCAAGCAACTGAAACATGCCACTCAATGAGACATCATCACATCCCTGCCAAATGCACACATACAAGTTTTAACAAGGTCCATAATCTGAGAAGACCCACTCCAAGACCTCAGATACAATGCTCAGCTGAACAAAGTCCTATCCCTATTTCAAAAACAATTCAGCTTTTAAAGCACAGCTTTTTAATGTTCTAGGTGGGAGAATACTCTCTGTATGTATGGAGAAGCAAATTACTTTTCTGGCTTTAACTACTACCATCATTCATAATTCTTCAACCCATCAAGGAAACATGTATTGGTAGAGATATCATGAACAGGCTTAAGACAACTGGTGCTATACCCAGTATGCAAGAGCAGCGCCACTGTTCAATTTTCTCTTTTCTTCAGTGTAGAATACTTTTCCCCTGGCATCTAATAGTTCTTTCCACTTTTACTTTTTAAAAATACTTCAGACTTTGCAAGGTAAGCATCTACGCCATACAGCCAATTTTAATACACTGTTTTCTGTGAAAGACTTGGAAACCAAAGAAACATAAATAGATTCATTTAAGAGAGAAAGAGTTGCCACAGCTGGAAAGCATCACACTGCTTTGGCTAACTATAGATTTTAGACTCTGCCACACAGAACATTAGATTATAGGGTTCTAAGCAAAGGGTGGCATGTCTAACAAGCCTCCCTCCACCCTAAAATACCATGCACAGCTGACTGAGGCAACACCTAAAGTACCTTTGGTTTTGCAGAGCCTTCTAATTCAGTGCCACATGCTTTGGAGAGATAAGGGAAACCAGTCATTAGAGCCCAGGGTGTGGTCTTTGCAAGGACTATTTTAGCCTTCTAGAAAACTGCATAGTTTGGGGGAGGGGGTGGGAATGTAATATTAACTATCAAAAATGTATGATCTGTCCTAAATTTAGGAGTGTCTCTGAAGGGATATAACGTCACATTGGACAGAAAAGCTAGCTAAGGCCTATCAGAAATTCTGCTCATGGTTATGCATTCCTCTGACAAGCTCCTCTACATATTTGCAAACCCAATTTCTCAAATGTGTGGTCACTCTTCATTCCACTATTCTTGTAAGTTCTCTATAAAGATCTTTCATTTTCACTCTAGTTCTTAAAAGACTTTTTGGAAATGGAAATGGACCCTCTGGCCATGTTTGCAAACATTTCATCACAGATGCCTTGCCCTAGAGAGCCATCAATGCAACACAAAGTTGTTGACTAGTGTTGAACATGCAAACTTGCACAACGGCTTCAACTGGTTCGCTGCATGGAAAAGTCTTATGTTCACAACAGTAAGTGGTATAGAATGGAAAAATAAGGCATTGTATGCTAAATGCTTCTTCAAAAAGCAACAAACTTCCATGCCTATTGTGTAGCAGTTTTGCAAGCAGAACCAGTTTCTTTGCATGGATTACATCCTTTATAGATCGAGGTAATAGTCTGCAGACCAATCATTTTCTTTTACAGACTCATAAAATGAACACACAAACTGAACTGTCAATGAGTTGACTGATTTTTTTCCTTCTCTATCACCAGCGCCCAATACCCAAGTGGCTATTTATTTGGAGGATGAGGTGGTAGATAGGCTTAGGTGAGACTTTCTCACGTAAGTGTCCCAACTTGAGTTTGCATTAATGCCTCAGATGTTTTTGTCTCAAATACAGTACATCCTAAAACATGTTCTAACAGCAACAGAGGAAAGGGTTATATAGATTATCTTTGTGTATGGGAAAAACATGTACAAAACGGCAGACCTTCAGTATCTTTCAGAAAATACACCTGCAAAACAGTTTATAAGGAATGTAAGAAGTGTTTACAAGTATTTCATATAGTTGGGTGTCAAAAGATGTACAACATAATTGCACATGAATGACATTTTGTATTGGGTGCAGAAAGCACAGTTCTTTAGTTTTGAAAATCGTGCTTCTTTCTGTTCAGGTGATACAGATCCACTTTTTCCAAACTTGTGCCTTCTAGATGTCTTGGACTATAAACCCCTGTTGAGGAATCCTGGGAGATGTAGTCCAACATATCAGGAAAATACCAAGTTGGAGAAGATTGATGCAGGTTTATATCAAAAGCAAATGCATGCAGTTTTATACCAAAAAGCAGGACAGAAAGAGCAGAACATAGAAAGAGCACAGATAAATTTCAGTTTGTTTTGATGCAAAGGAGGCAGTACTCACACAGCTTCTATCCATATATGAGTTTCAACTGTTGCGCTTTTTTCCGATGTCCCTTCTATCCAGTTTCACACTTCCCTGCCATTGTAGTCATCGAATAGGAATCATTTACCTATTGCAGGCGTAAGTTGACCCAGTTTGCATGTCACAGTGGCAAAGCTGGGTTAAGCCATGATTTTGTGGGATACATGCATGAGGCTAAACACCTAATAGTCTGGGTTTACACATCAGGCTGACAACCTCCAATCAAGCTGAGTGTTTGTTTCAACTGGCGGGTTGGGGATCCACAACTGAAGCATTTTCTAACCTGGGATGGATTATAGCTATGAATAGTATTGCAGGCACATCATCATGTGCCTGTAAAAGTCACATAAGAGAAATTTGACTGCTGAAGCTTTACTCATGTATGCATGGAAATCAGCACCCACTGAAATGCCCACTTCTGCAAAACTAGTAGCCTGTCTTCCCTAAATGGTCACTCTAAGGAGAAGTAGGAAGACGGATTGTGTAAGAACTCTGATGCAAGATTATAAAAGAAAACAGTTTGTTGCAGACCTTATGTAAAGGTGGTACCTGGTTATGACAAGGTTGATGACTAACGCTCTAGTGATTGCATTTACCCTTTCCTAGTAATTCTTTTGAGCAGCCTGTGTGCTATATTAGAACTGCTCCGAACAAAGCCATACACAACCTAAATACCAGGGGTGTCTAGTTGAGGCCTTGTGGTCTATCTGAAAAAAAAAACAAAAAACCCTGTGATAATTTAGACTCCATTGTGCCACAAACAGAACAAAGGCAGGAGACAGAATGCCCCATGCCTTGGTTCATTATCATATTTCATTCTATACAGAGATAAACTAGCAAGGTTATTTGTATTCATGATTACACAGATCAAGTCAAAGTAATTTCTCTCTTCCAGATACAGTCCTTCCTGACAAACATTTCGGGTTCAAGGAATCACTCCAAGATACGCAGTGCAATGTCTTTATCATTTTCAGGGCAGAAAATTCATAAGGAATTTTTTTCTGAAGAGATGCAACTGATTATGTGATCTAAAGTGTCTGTAGTA